CCTTTCCTCTGAACGTGGCGATAATCTGTAATTACATCGTTTCCCTCGCAGACATTTGGTATGGATTTAGAGAGCCTGAAATGACCGTCATCTTCTCTTTCCCTGGGACATTTCTATTAACCTCAGATGATGGTTCAGGAGGACAGAGGGCAGGACAGCGCTGCAGGGAGGATTATCTTATTATCATGGCTGTGGAGATTTTCTGGAAGTGAGCCATACAGGGAGTAGAGACAGGAGGTCAGTGAGGAGGTCAGGATTGAGGAAACATGAAGGAGAGGAGATCATCCAGGAGGGTACAGTCCTCTGAGAAACGTGGAATAGTTTAATTAACTGGAGAAGTGAGCACATTGTGAGTAAGACCCGACAGTGACTTCCCCTGGATATCTATACTACAATTTCATGAAATACTTTACCATGACTAGTGACGTCCTTTAAAACATACCATACTGTGACTTTTTAGGACTTTTAAAACATACCATAGGCTTTTCTATGACATACTTAACTATGACTTTTTCTGATATACTATACTCTGCCCATTAACAACGTATAATACTGAGACTTTTTATGACATACTATGAAACTTTTACATCATACTATTTACTATACTATTTTGTCCGGCAGTGGCTCAGTCAGTAGGGGCTTGGACTGTGAGCCGTAGGATCGCCGGTTCAAGTCCCCGAACAAACCTAAAATATGGAGTGTGGACTGCTACTTGGAGAGGTCCCAGTTCACCTTGCTGTGGTGCCCTTGAGCAAGGCACTGGACAACCCCCTTCCCCTCTCCCATTGCTCCCCAGGCGCTGTACAATAGCTGCCCACTGCTCCTAGTACTAGACTCCTGGTACTAGGATGGGTTAAATGCAGAGGCCAAATGTCACTGTGTGTGCTGTGTGCTCTGCATGTGTGACCATTAAAGAGGGGTTTCATCCCTTCTATTCTATTTAAGACTTTGACTTTTGACAACCTAAACTATAACATATTGTATATACAATACTGTCTTTTTATTACTTTTGTATACTCAACAATTAGTTTTTCCTGAAACACTATGCTAACTTTTTATGACTTTTTGCGAGATACTATAATATTACTTTTTATGACAAGCTCTGGTATTATTGTTTAAATGTGTTCTCCTGTCAAATTACTCTTAACATGCTAAAATAAACATGCTAATATCTATAATGTGTCTATTATTGCTCGTGCCTCCTCCAACAGTGGACCTGGAGTCAATAAATGACCTAAAGGTGTTTGTCTCTCAGTGTTTCTGTAGTGTCTGTTGGGCGGCTTCATGAGTCCGTGTGAAGTCAGTCTGTAAAAGAGCAATAATAATGCTTTGGCTCTGAATGTCCTCCAGTGATAGGCTGCTGCAGAAAGAGCCTCACAGTAACTCCACCAACTGGAGGACAGATGGCGTTGGCTCACATTCACTTGTTATTTGGACTGAAACGTGATGCATGTTTCCACTGGTGTGAACGAACCAGCAAAGTGGAGAGGAGCGGCTGCAAAGCTTTAGAAACATAAAGAATACCCATAATGCACCTCTCTGGCAGCTTCATTGAAACAGATTATTTACGAGGCAGTTTAGGACATTGAACATATCCCGATTTAAAGGTCCCCTATTATACTGTTTTTCATCAATATATTATAGATCTCAGATATATACAAAACATGTCTCTGAAGTGTTTGGCCCCAAACACCAAACAGATCATTGCAGCATCCCATAATCCCCTCTGTTTCAGCCCTGTTTCAAAAGTGCTGATTCTCTGTCTGTTACTTTAGATGAAAAATAAGGAGCCACTCCCCACGCCCCTCTGAGAGATATTTGGTTAAAAATAACACATTAGGCGCTTTCAAACCGCAGTACTTTTCCCACAAAGGTTCATGAGAACTTAGTTCATGAGAACTCTTTAGTTTTCATGAACTAAGTACAGATCGCGTTCACACCGGAATAAGTCCCTGAGGGTGGATTAGGCAAATGAAGCCGCCGACGTCACTTCTCATTCTTCTGCTTTGGTTTTACTGGCAGGCCGCAAACAACTTCACGGCGTATACTGCCACCCGAAGTCTCCGGCCGGAAGTCCCCGGAGTTGGGGACTGGCTTCAGTAGAAGCTGATGGGACTCCCAGGAATTTTACGGGGCGTGGTTTGCAATCCGCCCAGCCAATCAGAAATAGGAACCTT